TCAGCATCCATGCCCCTTAATAGGAGCATCCTTAAACTGGTTCAGTGCTCAGCTCATCAAGAGCAATTATAGCAACCTATTAGAAAGAAAATAGACTCTACGTAGAGTAGGAATGGGAAACATATTATGATAACACAGGGTAAAAATGAAATGATCAGTATGAAAGAGAAAAATGGGCTTGGATATCACTCCCCAAGGCTGACTGCACCGTTTCCTGTAGCTCAACTATTCATGAACTTTCTGGTCATTCCCAATTTGTTACCGTCCATGCTTGTCCTGTCCCTGTTATGGTCATTACCTTTATTTTTATAGCTGCTTTTATGCAAAGCACATGTTGTCAATGGCCTTTCCTTATCTTCAGTCTTTTCAATTACATAATGTAGCATGGTACCTGGCAATTCCAAAGCAAATGTATCTTGGAGGATAGATTATGAATCAAAAATGAATGCGCTGGGACATCTTAATAGCTTGTTTCCTCCCATGCTTCCTGCCAGGGTGCCTCAGCCTGTCTCATACGTGTATCCAAAGAAGATCAAAACAACAGTCAGCATATTCACTAAATTAAATTTGTCTTTTAGTACTAATGGGAAGGAAATCATCAAAGATGACACAGGTTCTTTATTGAACAGCAACACTTAAGTGGCAGTGATCGAAAGCTGCCTTACATAGACCAGAAGGTATTTGATTTTAATCAGTCAGGAAGGAAATGGTAAAACAAACGAATATACTCTCATCTTTAAAAAGAGGTTCTCCAGGGAAAGGGGAGCGTGTTCTGCTTCCCCAAGGTTAACAGCCTCATAGTGCCCTTTTTGTTAACCTGATCCCTGATTTGCGAGTAGTTTCCTTCCTTCCTTCCACCCAGAAGAATAAAGCTGTGCTTCTGCAGCTTTGAAGTCACTGCAAGTTGAATTTAATGCTGGAAAGACGTCGGCAGGCACTTGTGTTTGGTGAGGGAATAAGCACGTACTGAAAGCACCACTCTCCCGGCACCATGAACGCCACGAACAGAAGCCAGGGCAGACAAAATCCCCTTCCTGGCCACAGGAACATGCAAGCTGGTCCACGGAGGAAGAGTTAGGCTGCATCCAGCGGCGGGCAAAGCAGAGTGAGCCACCAGCAAACCGTCAGAGCAGAGCCCCCTGCGCCAGCCGCGTCGTGCTATATGACGGTGCAGCAAGCACCACGACCGGCCACGTCACCCGGAGCCTTTCCCACAGCGTGTTTCAAAGGGCGTGCCGGGGATATTTCTTACAGACACACTGACCTGAAGGCTGACGTGGACCTCAAGAAGTCCTTGTAACCGTTCTGTGCTCCAGCACTGCCAGGCTAAACTCTAGGGAATCATCGACAAGTTATTTACTCCGTGTAGGTGCATAAATATGGCCTTGAGCCATTTGCAGGAGCATTCGTGATGATGAATTACAGGCTTAACTGACCAGCTCTGATTCGCCTCTGATGCCCTCTCTCAGCCCCTGAAGCTCAGGTTAAGGAACTAAAAGGACGTTTTTGAAAGGTGGACCGGTGAGCCACTGCTTTCCTCTTCCCTGGATTCACATCCAATACTGGTGCTGCAACGCACAGTCCTGGAGAAGGATATTGGTTCAAAGTCTTTATTTCCTGAGTGATTTAAATAATTTATACCCATATGAATGTAGGATGTTCGTGCTTCACATTCTACAAAGCTAACCTGTCTATGAGCAAAGGGGTTTTGAAATGCTCATCAATAGCTGATGATTTCTTTTCTGTTACAACTTTGCTTCTGAGATCCATGTACTGTAACATTTTCAGATGGTTTAAACCCCGCTCTGGAATTCCTGGGATCATAATAAATGGATTAAATGAAAAGTCTTGTTTTCTCTCTGTTCATGTAAGGAAGCCTTAAACTGTTTCAATATTGCTCACTTTTTATTTTGTACTGAGAGCTTTAGACATAGTGAGAAATGAAGACAGTTAAAACGAGACTTGGGAACACAGTTCTGAGCTCTGTCAGACCCGGGCCTGTCCCATGATGTTAGGCAAGGCTAAATTTTCATGAAATGCCAGGTTTGAAGGAATCTTTGAGAAGAACTGGACATTGATTTCATGATACTTTGCTACTGACCTCAGAGGTGGTAGCTATTATTTTAGATTTCAGAGTGCAATCTCAACAGATCAGATCTCAAAAGCTCCAGCAAAATAAAGGCTCTACTGTAGTTCCACTCCTTCCAGACTTTCTTCAAGTCATAGATGAGGTTTAGATTAGCCCACTCCATAACATAACTGTGGAAAAGCAAGGGAGTAAAACAACAGTAATTTGCCGCGGGCCCATTTTTACTTGAGGGAAGCTCAGTTTAGATTTGGCAGGAAAAGAAAGTTAGATAGTAATAATCTAATTTAGAACCCCAAATGTATATTAATTTATCCCTGGTTTGGCATTAACTTGAGGCCAGTTTCAAAAGGTTCCTGCTGCTGAGGTTTCTAGTTGACGGTTAATGCTGAAATACATCCAGTGTGTTCCCTCAGTCTCACGGCCGTTGTCCAGTCAACCAGCTGGAGCCTCATTGCTCTTTTTTTTTTTTTCCCCCCAGTTTCCCACGTGACATTGCTAACAGTGAACATCTCATTTAAATCTCGTTGCAGCAAAGTGACTCACACGTCACCAGTACATTCTTGCTCCTGGATGCACTTTAAATAAAATCAGCAAGGCTCCCCAGATATTACCTCGTTTTTTCTCTGGGATTACAAAGCCAGAGCGTTAACATAATGAAAGGAAAAATTACGAGCGTAGAACCAGCTTCCTGTCTGGAAGGAATACATCACTGTCTGTGCCTCCTTCTTGTGACTGACCCAGCACTCGGGTCCGAAGAGCAAAGCCTCTGAGTGCCTTCCCAGGAGAGAATCAACTAGCTCCTAACTACACGTGCAACAAGCGGGTGGTACCTTCACTAGGATCTTCTGACTGGAACGTCTGCCCAGGGACAGGGGCAATTTCCCAGCTCAGTCTCACTTTCTAGTGCCGAATTCTGGGAGGAGAGCCTAGTCCTCAAGTGCTTTTGGCTGCGATTTGAACACCGCTGATTTGAATGCTCCCTAAGTGTCTGTTACCTTGGGAAAAGACGGTTCCCCTTTCCGCTCTCCAGCCACGCAGCCTCACAGCACTCAGTGTGCAGCTGCTCACTGCGGTCTGTCTCTGGCTGGGTCACGAAGGGTGGTCCTTCAGGCTCTGTCTCCTCTCTGCTTTAGCTCCCTGCCTTGCTTCTGAGGAGATGGTGCTTTCTCACAGACATCATCAGTTGAAAGAATATGTTTCACCCTTTGTTTTCACCCTTTCCATTTGCAGACACAACAGTGGGTTTTTCTACGTTCGTTACTGTATTATACTATACCTGGATTCGTATCTAGATCTGAGGTAGACTACTAGCCTCACTCCTCAGAAAGCTTTCAGGTTTTCTGTTCTTATCCTCCCCATGTGAAAGATCCCCATTCTTCTGGACCGGTTTGCCGTGCTGTCCAGCACACAGTGTTCTGCTTTTCCTGCTTCAAAGCTCTGGTTGCCTGGTGGTTTCTGTGCAAACCACATCATCGCTCCTCTGAACCTGTAAAAGCTTGTTGCCGTGTATTGTTGAACTGTACCCTCTCGATTCTGTAATATGTTATGGAGGGGTTTGTCGTAGCGTGGTCTGTTCACGTTGTTGGGGTGGACCACACCGACTGGATCTAGTTATCAAACCCTGTGAGCCTGTAAGTACTGGGAAGGAACTGGCCTGCTTCGATGAATTGCAAGAATAATGTTCCCTCAATGTCAGCCCTCAGCCTGACACCTCTTTGCAGTGGTCCACTGTCTTTTTCCTTCCACAGCTGTAGAAAATACTTTGAGCTAGAAACTGTTACACATTCCCAATCTTGTGATCAACTGTTTTGACTGCTAGGCTGTGGGAGAGGTAAGGACAGTCTTCAGGGAGAGCCTGGCAACTTTCCCAGCTGATCATTTCTCTTGCCCAGCTCCAATACAGACATTATACAGAGCTGCTGCGACCTTTCTGCTGATAAGTCATTTCACTGCAGAGCTCTACAGGGCTGAGCAGGCATTACTCCTCCCTCTGTAACTGAACCAAACCAAGCCTGCAGCCAATACACAGCAGAGAATTTATTGACTGTCTCTGGAATTGGGCAATTCTGTTAATTGTCTTCATTTTCCAGGACTCTGTCATTCTTTTCCTGAACCATTAGTGGCACAGCTATTTGTGTGCCAGCATGAGCTGCCTGGAAAAAAAAAGCTGAAATCGAACAGCAAATGAATCAAAGACAAGGACAGATCCTTCTCAAAGACAATTGCATTCAGATATCCTGGGGAGCCCTTACAAATACCTTTTCAGCTTCCACAGCTCTTTTCCCTTTTCGTGGCTTTGGTTTGAGGAACCTCTATTAAGCAACATGATATTCCCAAACAACTTCAGTCAAAACACTTCTTTCCTCTTTCATGATTTACCTCCCCAGTGCTCTTAGCCATACCAAATTCCCAAGCAAGGACTTTTTAAACTATTTTTTTTTAAATTTTAAAGAGTCAAAATGATTGGGGTAGCTCTGTCATTCCCATCTACAAAGTGCATCAAAGAACACTAGGACATTGGTGGGACAAAAAGCAGGGAATTGCATAGCCTGTTCGTTAATTCAGGGTTTTTCTTCCTTTCCTTCGCAGCTTGGATGTTAATCCCTGTACCATTTCCCATAGTGAACATGTGATCTGATCTTGGACATGTTTTAGGTAAATGCAGTGGGAGTCAATAATTGTGAGCTGCTGTCTACAGAGAGTTCCTAGACAAGGAAGTCACCCAATACTTTTAATACAACAAACTCATGACACTCGGTATACACATTATGTCTTATTTACCTATCATTTATCCATACTCACTTGAAGTCTGTGGTATCACCAACGCATTCAAAGAAAAATTATATTTCTGCTTCAATATCTCTTTGATCAGAAAAGAACAGTAGCATCCATACACAAGATTTGTCGTGTTTTTTAAGCGAGGTGATTCTAGCCCAGTTGTGATCCTACAAAAATACAGTGCTACAGTATAGTACACATTTTGAAAAAAACCCTGATATCTGGGGGTGAACAGTCCTCTGGCAGTTTTGGGATACCATCCAGCATTTTCAGATTTGGCAAACTGGAGAATACGCTTGAAGAGAGACAAAAGAAAAATAGAAATTGAGATAAATAATCTCGGGAAATGTTGAGAACAAAATAGACACTGATAAAAAAACCAAACAGTAGATTCAAACATATCCCAATTAGATTTCTATTGTTGGAAATCTTGATTTATCATTTCCTGCAGAATTTATCTGATAAAGAGCTAATTAAATTTTTTCAGGCTTCACTCTGTGCACACGTTTTATATCCTTAGACTCAGTAAAGCACTGCAAGTAGCTGCAGTTTTAATAGAGTAGAACCAAACCACTGGTCTAATGACCAAGAGAGGACACGGTGTTAGCCCAGATTGAATTTCCTAGACTGCTGAAAAGCAAAGATCCAGATTGCAGGAAGAGCAACTCAACTTTTATCCTTCTGTGACAAAGCAGCCCGGCTCTCTGCAAACCCCTTTGCACTTCTGTTTCTCCCAAAGAAAAAAAGTCCCTGTTTTGCGGGTATGATGCCAAACCAAAATGAACAGCTCTACCTCCCAGTGCAGCGTCCCTTTTGAACAGCACATCAGCATCTCTACCCTCGGAGGTGGAGACTGCTGTTTTCTTCTTCAGAGAAGTTTGCGGGAGTCGTAGCCCCTCCATAAGCATTGCACAGGGCATTAACCCACATGCTACGGTATTTGCTCCTGCGAGGGTGGACTCACTCTCAGCATGTAACTCAGGGCTTTACCTATGCCTGAAAATTATTCATTCTATCTTCCAACGCTGGCAGTGAAAGCAATACCAGAGTCATACCAAAACTTAATTGCCTTAAGAGCTGGTAGGACTGGGAGCAGAAACATAACTAGTAATTGTTAAAAAGTGCTTTTCAGCTTGTGCTCTCCTGGACCTTTTGATATGCAAATACAACGTGAAATCCATCATTTTAAATTTACTTTTTAACTTTCACGTTGACATCTGCCTATCTACCTTTAGAAGGCACAAGCATCACCATCACACTGTCAAAGGGATGCCTGCTAGCCTGAAGGAAAAACCACACTGGAAGCTCAGAAAGGTTTTCATTCCACACTTTCTTTTAAACTTCTCCTTTTTTCTGACCCTCCCAGGACGAGATGACTTCTTAGACACGTGCTGTAAGGTTTATCTCAAAAATATCAACAATGCTTTCTGCAGATGGCTGACGTGACTCTGTGTTTGTAGTGGGGAAAAACAAGCAACCACGCAGATTTCTGGAGTTCAGAAGGAACACGCTTCAATCCCCTTGCTGACCCGTGTGCAATTTTTTTTTCCTGGCAACAGGGTTTTGGAGTCAAAGCAACTGGGGAAGAAGGGAATAGGGGTGTGAGCGCAAAACATGAATGAGACTTAAAATCAATTCTCTTCCCCTGAATTCTCTACTTTATCTTGGATCTGAATTTTCATTTCCAGGGTCCGAGGCAGCTCTGTTAAGTCTAGACTACACTGCGCTGCCTGCGACAGACACTGAGCGGGGTGTTCGAGCCAGAGCAACTTCCACTGTGCTGCCACAGAGAGAGGAGAGAATCCAGAAAAATCAAACAAAGGTAACTTAGTTTTCTCTTGCTTTAGCTCCCATCGTTCAACATATCCTTCTGATTCCATCTCTGACATGTAATGCAATTCAGACTCCTTTCAGAATACACGAGGGATGCAATGAGACTGAAGAGAGTTTGAGTAATAGGTAGTTTCTATTAATAAAAGGGAATCTAATTTATCTGCCCTACTCACTGTCTCTAAACTTGATCCATGGACTTAGTTCAGTTCAAGAACTGCCAGTCATGTGATCAGAAAGCCTCCTAGGCAGTTTCTGAATATTTTGTGGCTATTACAAGATACTGGTTCACCAGCTCCAGTTCCTGGAGCATTTATGATAGCTGTAACTATGGGAAGCTAAAAACATTGCTCAGGAGAGCTTGTTGCAGATGAGATCCTATTCCTTTTGAACTCTCTCACAAACATTTCTTTGTGTTGATCAACTTTCATTGTTGATCAACTTACCACGAGATGGTAAGACTTACAGTTGTCTGTATCTTTCTTGAAATTCACAGGGATTCCTCTTGAGTATAAGGGATTCAAGTGGGGTATGTCTGAAGTCTGATATTCCACTTAGTGTCATAATGTTATTTTCAGCGAGTGATAAGTGCTGAATCTGAGGTATCTTTGGCAGCTGTTTGAAGGATGTAAAGTGGTTTTTACTGACATTTAGTTCTCTGCATCTGTAAAGTACAAAGCATATGACATCATTGATTACATCCATAACAGGATATACCTGTAAGCCAACACAGGGAATGGCCCTTCATGTAATCAAAGTCATGGCAACTTAGGGCTTCGAATGAGAGATACAAAAACTTGATTCCTCGAGACCCGCTTTCACACCAGTTTTACGTTCGCGCTATTTTTGCCTACCCATGGACTGCAAGATCAGATCCCTGTGCTTTATACTCTCAGCTTTCTCTATATTGTACAAAGAATACATCACTATTTCTGTTCTCAATATTGCAACCTTCCGTATACCTAGGCATACGACAACATAGTAGCCATAGATGGATTGTAAAAATAGAGTTGTCACGGTCACACTTGGCCTCTGTGCCTGGGTTGTGTTCCACCATCTCTTCATACAGATTGCTTCAGTTTTCAACAACTTTCTCTTTTAGCAAAAATATCGCTGAACTTGATGAGACTCATGAGTTATCCACCAGGAACAAAGGATACATCACCTGACCTCCTTACTGAGTATTTTCAACTTGGGGACAGCATGAACTCATAATAGCAATATACCGATGGATTCCCAACTTAACACCCCCCAAAATACCGTATTTTGCAGTTCTCAAGAGTCTGCTCCAGCTATTACTTAAGTAAACACTAGTTTGGATTTCTATAATATTGCATAAAAACAGAAACAGGACATTTTGTCTACCTTGGCAACCTTATGGCACTTAGGTCTGTCAAAGAATTGTCCACCAACCAAAGTTTTTCCACACGAATTAATCTTTGGAGAATCCTTTTGAAGTTCTCCACCTGGTAGAGATCACCCAGGTCTTGGAATGAAAGGTTCAGCTCCTGGGAAAGGAAAAATAAGTGAAATCACATCTTTTTTTCTTGCTTTCTAATAACTGTATCATTGAATCTTTCCAATGTCAGAATTAGTTAACAGGTGAATCTGTTTTATCATCCTGCTCTTATCCCAATTTGTGGTGCCAACTGCCAGATTCACCTTCGAAACACAGCGATGCACTGCGTTAATTCCTCGTGAATAAAGAAGAAAGAAACCATCTCTTACGCATGTGACTCTTACTGCCCAGCCCCTCCTTCCTCTTCGAGTGGGCATGCCTGCGTGTGTGCTCTGGGTGGAAGAAGCAGGACTAAGTGATCGTGGCTTATTGGTTCAGCCTCTAAATTCATCTGGAAAAAAAGCGCAGTGGTAGCCAGATATCAACATTCCCCAGTGCTCACGCACAGGGAGAGGCACGATCCACACCGCTGGGTCTCAGTTAGATTAAGTTACTGCCTGATCCTAGGGAGGTCGTAACTTACTGCTGATCAGAGCCAGCAGTAATGTAGCACCTCCAGCCAAAAGAACTGCTCAGGCTGGTATAAGGAGAGAGTGAAAGAGCTGAAATTAAACTATTCCATTCTCTAACCGTTCGTTTACCATCAGGCACTAGACGGGCAAGGAATGTCACTAGTTCTTATCTGCCCAAATGAAGCCCTGTCACAACACAGGAGTTGACTCTCTGCACAGGGTCAGAACCCAAATTACAATGTATTCCAGTGTTTCTTCCAGCTCGTAAAAACCTTCTGGTTTACAATGTCATGGTGCCAACCTGAGCTTTAATGCTGCCAACTGCCAGGAGCAGCTGGTACATTATTATTTGGCTTATTTACTATTACAGTACAAAGAGTCAATGAGAAAGTTTTACCGCACAGTTTTCCCAGTTCTCTTGCAGTTTCTTTTGCCACTTCTCTGTGTCAGTTACTTGTTTTCTTTTTTTCAAAGTATGTTCTTCTCCTCTGAAAAACAGCTCTTCTTTTGAAGGCCCTGCTCAGAAAAAAAGATTTACAATAGTGGATGTGATACGGAACTGGCACTTAGTTATTGCTGAACGATTATACATAGGGCTGGGAAGATATCTGAAATGTAGAAATATATATAATATTATAGGTGTGCAGGTTTCCAGGCTTCTAAGAAGTAAATTAATGTGAAGATTTTTCTACCATTTCTGGGCCTATAATTCAGCAAGCAATCTAAGGTCGTGATGATTTGGTACATGGTTAGTAAGTGACATTTCTTCTACAGCTCAGAATAAAAGCTTTTTCTAAATGGTTGAGCATAAGCATCTGAGTTCTAACATACTGTTTCTACATATTCTTTCACATGCTATGAGCTGATGTAATGGTTACGTACTTATCCTTTAATTGTCCTGAAACAGGGATATGTTCGTAACTTCCAGTCCACTGACACCAACTGCAACTGGGATCAATAGCCACACTCAACACCTCATTTGTATTAAGAATGACACACACTGAAGACTTGAAGTCGTAAGGTCTACTGAAACGCTTAGAGCTATGGACATCTTCAAATCCCTAACTAAAGCAGTGTGGAACTTTCCCACCGTTTAGTGCCAAACATGCAAACACTGGATTTTAAAATCCACTCTTCATCCTCTGTTCTTCAGTGTGTCTATGGATTGTAATTGGGCCAATTCAGTCTTAAAATAAAATAAATGTGCCACTGTTTGCAGGACTGGATTTCACTCTTGGTTTCTTGTCTGGCATACGGCTATTGCATTCTGAGCAGTATTTAAATGTTAATGAACTTTTGATAGAAGCAAGTGACACCACATCAATACGAAAAATTTTCAAATCACAGTTCTGGTTTTTATTCCCTATTTTCAAAATTACGAAGCGTATTTTTCCTAGCGTTTAACAAAAGCCGCCATGTATGATATGGGATGAAATCCCGCCCCTTTTCAAAACAACGTTAAACTCCATCGTTTAAACTCATCACGTTTAAGGATATCTTGTTTGAGTAAACAGAGTTAAGGCTTAAATGTGAATAAGTCTTTTTGATCTTTACCTTCTCTTACTCGGGGACAACGAAGCTGACTTCCTCGAACATCATGTTCTTCTATGTCACACCAGCTGAGATACTTAAAGGAATCAGAAGGAAGCTTTAAGAAAGCAAAATAAAGATATAAAAGAATCAGTTAATGTTTTTCAGCTTCTAGCATTGTAATTTTCTCATATTTCTGGCCTTATTACAGCAGAAATAATATTCATACATGTTTACAATGTCTTCTGTCTTGACACCATCTGGCAAATAGCAAAATGACGTATGGAAGTGAGGATACAATGGCATGCATTTGTGTACACATATGCCTGTAAACACATTTCTGGACAAACTTACATACAATACATCCTGAATGCAACCAAGGCACTAAATTGAAATACAGAAAACCTGCCACTGCACTTGAGAACATGAGGTTTCTGCCCATTTTGCTTTTCCACTAAAATACATTCTATAATTTCCAGGGCATCAGTCTCCCAGGAGGGAGCAAGGAACGAGGTCTCGAACTCCGCCTGTGGTGCGTGGAGTAGGTGTGAGCTGTGGCGTGCCCAACGGAGACAGCACCGCGACTGCCTACAGCGGGGGAACCGCTCAGTGCAACGCAGCTTGGCACTTGCTGGAGCTTCCAGCATCTTTCAGTGGAAACCATGTTGGTGGAGTTGAGGGGGGGGGTGAGGAGACATGGAACACGCACCTCTGACTCATCCCATCCAGTTAGAGACACATCCAGAAGCTGGTAAATGCTGTGGGAATTCACAGTTTTGGTGTAGTTTACCACAGCCCATTCTGGTTTGATTCTACGAATTGGTTCAAATACTGGAGAGAGGTCTTCTCGCAGAATATCTGTATTGTTACCTTTCATAGCACTCCTGGTTAGGGCATTTTACAGCAAATGCACGCAGCCTCTTCAGGATTTATGTACTTGCCCATTGCATCCAGTTCTGTGCATAGTGCTCAAGGGCTGAGTCAAATCCCTTGCCACTGATGACACCATATATCATACAATTTTATCTATAATCTGACCTAGCTTTGGAAGACAAAAGGTGGCAAAACATGATCAGCTTCAAAGTAGAGGGAGAGATTTCTGCCTTAGTTACTCTTTGTCAGCATTTCTCTTCTGTAAACTCGTAACCAGACTGGTAACCTAAACACTTACTGGGGAAGGGAGCCCAGAATCACAGTTCTGCCTGATGATCCCTCTGTTTTGCGATAAAACCGGTGGAATCGTGCGTGTATTGCTTAGGAGGGAGCAGCAGGATGAATAGGATTTACAGAACTTTTGATCGGTTGTAGTCAGACCTGAGGAACTAGAGAAGAGATGTTAAACTAGTAATCAAATCTGTTCAGAGAAATGCAAACTATTTTAGAACAACAGAAAATACCGAGTAGCAAGGGGGAGGGTTTACCACCGGACAATAGCCACATGATCCTGAGAGCAAACCATAGGTAACCCCCTCTAGTCCCTTAATGGGATCTCTCACCCAAGTTCCATTTACTTCCACGTACGAGGCTATCACAGACATGCCCAAACATTAGAAAGAGGAACTTACTGGCAGTTTGTCAGAAAAACTCATTCTCGGAGAAAATGAAGAACTGAACTTGTTCAATGGCATGATACGTCCCCTTCTACCCCGTATAGCTCTGCTTTTATGGATCCGGGTTGTATGAAAAGACACCTCAATTAAAACGACTACATTTTAGCAGAATATCAAGGCTCCAGAGAAGAGTTGAACTTTGTTCAATAGAGTCTTGAAATCGCGTGCTTGTGTGCTTCACTAGTTCATTGCCTAAGAACACCCAAAAGTTGTCCTGGTTTTGCTGAGATAGAATTCTGGGTCAGCCCTGGCATGCAGGCCCTCGGCCAGGTTCTTCGGCTGGGAGGGCCAAACGCCGGGGCAGCTGACCCGAGCTGGCTCACGGGTGTATCCCGCACCAGAAACATCTGCTCATCACAAAGGGGGCGGTTTGCTGAGGGCAGGGGAGGCTTTTCCTGCTCCTCATTCAGCTGCTTCTGCTCTGGCTTCTCCCTGCTCCTGAGGACTGTTCTCCTCCTCATTGTGGCCGCTGTATATTCACGGGGCTGAGTATAACTTTGTCTGGTTTGTAGTAGGGCTGTTTTGTTAAATCTGTTTTCACTTCAACCCATGGGTCTTCTCTCCTTTTCCCGATTCCCCTTCTTGGCTGGGGACAGGTCATCGGGTGACAGAGCAACAGCTATAGTTTAGCCCCAGATAGGAGCTAAACATAGACAAAAGTCCATTTTATATACCTCAAACGATACAATTTCTCCAATTGTGTTTCAGAGAGATTGAATGATTTGCAGACTGGCAGCTGCAATTTAGAAATTTACTATGGAACACTTAAAAAAAATAATTTTAATTTAGTAAGTGTCTGCATGCAGCACTATAATTTGACTTTCACCGTACAAGCTCGGTGAGAGCTTGCCAGAAAGTATCAGCTGTCAGTAAGCACCATTAAAACAATTACAGTCAGGAGCAGAAATGGAGAATAAAAACGCAGCTTTAAAATTGTCTAGCGAGGATGGTAATGAAAGTTTCATACTGAGTGTAACAGACAAGCTAAATAGAACATCAGTTAAAACTACAGTTACAGAGTATTGGCAAATAATCCTGAAGAGACATACGCTGTTGACCTTGGTAAAGTTGTTTTGCCTTGTTTAAACGCCAGCAAAACCCAGTGCTGCATCTTTCCTGGCTATTGCCTGAAAGTGCTCACAGACTGCCTACAACAGTACGGACATACAGAACCACTCCTCCCTTCATGCCTTACGGCTTTTCCTTTTAGCCAGCCACAATAAAGCATAGGTGACTTTAAGGGAAGCTGAGCAAGCTCAGCACTTCTGAATATTCTGCCCTTAAAGCCCGCTGGACTCAAATGCACTCGGACTGCAGTTCGGAAGTTGAGAGCATTTTGTTGCCTATGAAAATTCTGCCAAGATGTCAGTGGGAGGAGAAGCAGACTTGTTTCACAGGCGCACGTCTGACAGTGATGTCTTGATGAAGTGCGGCTTTTATCAGCAAACTCTATAGAGTGCACGATTTTCCAAGATATGGAAAATGTTTTGACAAATTCAGTAGCTCTTCGGTACTCGTTCCTTCCAGTTTATGAAGTGTTTCAGCCACTCAATTCCCCACTGGAGCTTCCACTGAGGAAAATACATAAAGCACATTGGGTTACTCACGAATACTTTTGCTTATCCCCCCAGTCCATGCTACCCCTGTGCTGCTCATATGCAGCACTCTAGATTTCAAGGTGCAAGCAAAGAATTGCTTTGTGCAATCTGTTTGTTTGTTGAATTATTTAGATGAAATGGCGATTTTCTACATTTGAATGAACAGAATGGAACAGAATAATTTCCCTGAGTTCTTTTAAAGCGATCAGAAGTCCAGCTATTTCAAAGCACCCTTTAGGCACTTGAAGTGGGATCCTCCTCATTAAACTTCAGATGCCCTGAAGTTCTATCTTCTCTCAGGAAAGCCTGGGGGCTCCTCATGTAGACAGGGTGGACTGTGGTTCACGCCACCTGAAACTAATAGGCATTGAGGCTAAATTGTGTCGCACACAAGGTTTTTCCCCCTTCTTATCATTTTAAGCTTCATTTCCAATCCTTTTTTTATGGGATTCTTAAAATTCAGTCAAGTAACTCTGCTTAAAAGACATCCCAGATACTCCCCTACCCCTGGAAGAGAGAGAATGGAGGAATGCTATTGCCACAGAGGGTTTCCATTAGTGAAATTAATTCCTCTCTCATAGGAGTTTAGGTCTATGATTTATGATAACCACCAATTCCTCACTGCAGGCAAAGTGAGAGGAAATGACTCAACCTGGACAGACATCATGAATCTAATTTTTTTTCCCCCTAATGCTTGACATAATCTAGTGTGCTGCTCCCAGAGGTGTCATTGGAGATTCATATCCAGCCGAAGGGCCTCACAATCAGGGCAGAAAATTTTGTTACTTTCATGTATTGCGTGATCTGTAATTGCTTGGAATTGCATCCTGCCTCATTCATTGCCATTTCTCTTGCATCAATTTTGCAGCAAAATAGTTCGGAAAACAAAGCAAGGGAGAGAAAAGCAGTGTTGCACTTGCTTCTTCAGAAAAGTCTCCAGCTGGTGCTTATTAAACTTGGGCAGTTTTGAGTTGAAAAATGCTTCCTTCTGTCACTCTTCCCAATAGAAATCTCACTACCCACCTGATTGGAGAAGTCTTATCTATCACATATTGAGTCTGGAACTTTATGTTTTATTTTCTATCACTGGTACAGGATTTTGTGAGTGAGTTTCTGCCAAAAGAGCAGAACAGATATAATGCGAAACGGTTCAGCTAAAATGTTTTAGCCCACTTTTCCAGGGACTTGGAGTGCATATTCATGTCTCAGCAGGAGAGGACAACGAGGCACTGGACAGCTCTTCGCGAAGAGAAGTTGCTACTGGATATATTAAAAGTTCATTAAATAAATTCTTTGAAGAGCTATAGCTGAGCTACTTCTGGAACTATACCTGTTAAAGATATGCTGAGCTAAAAACATTCCTCCTGTGCATTACTTTAGATATTTGGCCATTAAGAAAAGATGGTCAGTCAAAAGTCTCCTTTCTCCTGATATAACCCTCAGCCCTGATAAACAAACATCTTAGACTCTACAGCACAGGTTTAGCTTTGCCTCACAGAAAATGGCAAATGGAAAGCTCAGGGGAAGAGGAGTAAAGATAAAGAAGGTTAAAAGCAAACTCTCAACTGGGATTTGAAAGGCTTTTATCCCAGGGTTTTGAGCAGCTTGGGGGTCTGCTCTAGCTTCCAGTAGTCTCATCCCCAGCTACTTTTCATGAATCAGCAGCCTCGAGCAGGCTTAGCGTTCACTGAACCACGGCTGCTTTCCCTGTAGATCTGAAATGCCCTTGATAAAAGATTTGGGAACAAGCAGCAGGGCTATTTATACTACCTCTTCACATATTCAGAGTCAGAATTCCTGCGGTGCTTGCTATAGCTTTACATCCCACCAAATCACAGAACATAGATGTTGGAAAGGCCCGTGCTCCCGTGTGGTTGGTCAGATGATTGCTATTTAACAGCAAAGTACTCCAAGCTCTTTCAGCCCTGCTACCATGAAAGTGAGAAACAAGGACCATTGTAAAGGAACCAAATCTAATGTATTTTAAGTATTACTTTATGTATTTATAATTTAATGTATTTTAAGATGTATCCTCATCTTCAAGAAACAGAAAAAAATCCAAACCCAAATAAACTACGAAAAGGGCGATAAATCCTCCCAAAGCAAAGAGTCAGAGCTCTGGGTCACAGCTGCTGATTTTGCATAGGCTCAAAGAGAGCCCGTTATGGATCCGTCCAAACCACTTGCACAAACTGCTTGCATGATACAAACACCCAGTTATTTGTTTCAGTCAACTGCACGTGCCAAAGCTGATCAACATGAAAGACCTGCTGGGTTAACTTACAAATGCCATTTGTATAGGTATTTAAAAGACAGCAAACTCAGAACTCAGGCTGTGCTTTGTTAAAAATGCACACCATTTACTGCTACGTGGCAGCTGTTGCTTGTTTGCAAACATTCATTATGAGAACTCTCTGAACTTAGAATAGTAGAGGACTTGGACATACTGTTTCCATGCTCTATTACCTTTCAATTACTTTTTTTTTATAGGACTTTTATGAGACATTATGGAACATTTTGAAGCAGTTCTTTAGAACATAATTTAGTGACAAACACACCTGTAAGTTATGGTTACAATGCCTCCTTGCTGCTAGCTGTACCGTCAATTATCTTGCTTTATGCATCATAAAACTGCCCCCCTCCAAAGACATAATTAGGTCTTATCGACAATTATACATTCCTAGCATATTAGCTAACATTCCATGCAGCTCTTCATGGATCTGACTTGCAAGGATACAAGCTCCACATCTCAATCTATGTGCCTTTTACAACAAATTATACATTTTTGTTGAGACGACTTCTGTATTTCAGTAATCAGCCAATGACACCAAGAAAAAAAAGTCATTTTTTCTTCCTGTCTCCACTGCACAACCATCTCCATCAGCAATACAGGTCGGTACGTTTTAAAAAGACACTCAATCCTGTAACACTATCTTTGTTGTCAAAGCATGTCAAGCCAGCTGTGCAATGACTACAGTTACTGCTCTTCTTTCACCCTCCTACCTTTCAGACATGTCTTGCTGCTGCATCAAATCCTCACATCTCGCATAAGGCTACGTGTCTACAGTCAAAGCTTATCTTCCCATCTTTGCCCCTGCGTAGACAGGTAGTTCTACACCCTCTGAAGAGAGGTAACCTGCAAGGATCCTGGCTGGGGCTGTATGGATTCCCTGTCTCCAAGGAAACGCTGTCACCTCGCAACACAGTCATCTTAGGAGCTATTGTTACCAATCTCTTAAGCACATCAAACAAATTCCTGTGCTGATCTAGCCGGTATCAACGAACCGTCTTTCCAGAAGGTGCCTAAAGAGAGGTTGGTGATACCTGTAGCAAGACACATGATCATCCAGATGAATCTCTGGTGGGCTCACGCCAGCGACTTCACTTTTCTGAATTGCTTCCACAGTTCCGCCCGCTTGACGTTTGTGTTTGCTTTGCTTAAAAGATCCTCTGCTTCATTAATGGCTGTTAAATGCTTTATTAATTTATCCAAGAACTTTGGATGAAAAGAAAATAGGTGCTTAAAGAGTTTCATATTTTATGTAACATTCATGAAAGTTCTTCAGGAGTGTCTCTTCACTCTGTTGAATGTCCTTGCCTCATTTGAAGGTGCTCAGCCATTTTATAAGCAATCTCCCAGATTCCTTCTTCAAGTTTGCATCTGAGAAGGAAAAAAAAAGACTCTTCTCTTGGTCAGAACTGACAGGTCAGTTTTGTGTCTATATTTATATTATATTTTTCTTAAAACATTAAAGCTGTAGGTTCTGAGAATAAGTCTAGTGAAGCTATTTGCTTCAAAATGTGTTTGATATAATGTTCATTTGGTTCCCTCAGACAAAGCGTGGATGCTGGCAGTGAGCCAC